AAGTCGTGCGGTGGAAACGAGTTGGTGCAATTACTACGAGGCTGGCTATCCTCGGACCAGGAACGAACGACCAACCACGCCCTCGCTAATGCGAGCCCGTGCGAGACAGGATTTCGAATCGGCTCGGCAAGGACGCCTGCTATATACAATGTACCCGCGGCACACAAAGACCGGCTACTGACATTTTTTAATTACACCCTGTTTACGCGGCCGAGACTTGGATCGCCAGCGGCACGCCAATACGCCCAGCTATCGCCAACAATAAGTTTCGCACGATATGAGCACATGCATCTTCATATTGATGACCGAAAAGCCTCACGATAACCTGAACAAAGACTGAAACGGCTTCGATCGGATTGCTCGATCGGAACGAGGATTTGAATTCGTCGTTGTTCGCAATGAAAAATTTACCGAAGATTAGGGGTAAAATCAGTGATTTTGATAATTAAGAACGTATTATCTATTTTTCTATCTATTTTTGTTTACAATGAAAACATGGATTATTCTAGATCGCATTTAAGAGTAATATAAAAAATTTTATGGCTGCTTAGAAAAATAATTAATTAAATATAAAATAGAAATGTGCTTTAATAAAAATGTAATTAAGAGATAATGACAAAAGTCACAATTTTTTTATATGAATATTTTAAGTATTCAAGATAATTTATGTAGAGTTTCATTGCGATGCAGAGATTAGTTATTCTGTAAATAAAATTAATTTTTATTGAGAATACAAACAAAAGGAGTGGTACAAATAAAATTTAATTTTCATTTATAGAACTAATTTCTACATAACAATAAAATTTTACATAAATAATTTTACAGCATTTATTTTATATTTTATTAATTTTACAGAATAATACATTTATGTAAAGAAATTGAGATTTTTGTCATTATTTCTTAATGACAAACTTGCGATTACATTTGCATCAGAGAACACTTGTATTTATATAATTTTTGGTTCCAGGTTCTAAACCATTGCTAAACTTTTATGTATTACTTTTAAATGCGATTAGATCTATAAATTTTTCATAATTTTTTCATTGTAACTTTTCATTATATAATGTATAAAAATAGATGTAATATATTCTTAATATTACGGATTTTGAAAAATATTTTGTCGAGGGATAATGATTTCTTGAATACTTAAGAATCAAACAATAATGTGCAAGAATAAAAAAATTGGAAAAGAATAAAAAAAAATGAAAAAATGAAAAAATAAAAACGTATTAAGAAAATATTAAAAATATGTTTTACTGTTATATGATCGAAATTGTAGTATTTAAATACCGTTCGTTATTATTATTAAAATCGTAAATATGTCTGTTAAAAAAAGTTTCGAGAGAAAAGAATCGTCTTTACATCTCTATTCCTCACTCTCATAAATGTTACCGTTGCAACGTACATAACTGTTACGTGTTTCAGTGTCAGACACTGAGATTTCGCATGTAAATATTTTAATCTTTTGCAAATGATAAAGACATACTTGTTGTCAATCTACTATTCGGAAAGCAAAGTTCAGTCGAGGGAAGGCGTTATTAAAAAATGTTATTTAACCATTCGCTATCAATTACCTCTTTGCACCGTTTTCCCCGAACATTTTGCGAGAGATAAACTCCTCACGAAACTTTTCTATCTTTATAATTATCTCGCTTGTTTCCAACTACATAAAATGATAGTTCGATTATCACGAAATGATCACTTATTACTTACTTAAATTGAGGAGTAAAAAATATAATACGCTAAAAAATATAATACGCTCAAAAAGTCATCATTTATATAATGCTTATTATCAACAGTTTCCATTAATTATGTAATATAAGTGTGTATAATACATTATACCAACAAAATAATCATACTCCGAAACTTTGCATTATTTTTAAACGGTGACGTTTGTTTTAATTTATTATTATCGACAATATAAAATCTATATATAAAATTTTAACGATAATGTTGATGATAATATTCCTTTTAATATTGAACAATGTCAACTTAGGCGATTTTTACCAAAAAAAAAAAAAAATATGTAATTCTAAATAAGATTACTTAAAATTTAATACGTTATTTCTTATGTAATGAAATAAATTTATGTAAGCAATTTATGATAAATTATTATGTAAAAAATTTGAAATACCAATTCCATGTTTCTGTATATGATGCAATGTTTAATTATAACTCCTTTCCAATCCAATTTTCAATTTAGTCCAATTAATTAACTTAGCTAAATAAATCGAAGGCACGAAAGAAAGTAACGATATCTAACAATTTAAAATTTTGCAAGAATAAAAATTTAGGAAGAATAGGTCTGCATATCACATTGTGTGAGTTTTATTGAGACAACATGTTTTGCGGAAGACGATAAACCGGCTCGGTAAAAGTTGTGCCGCCAAGAAAACCGCGGACCGACGGTGGGTTTCGCCTCTGTTTTTACCGCGAAATTTTCCATCACGTACCAGCCGAGTGAATTTCTCGGTTCTCGTACCTAACTATCGACACTGCCAGTCTTTTATAGTGGTGGTAGATTCGAAAGTTAGCCTTTCGTACGACCGACTCGCCGGTTCGTGTCTTTCTTCGACAGGGCCGTAGCTACTGTGACTCGCGCACAATCAGAGATGTCCACAGTCTTCTCCTTTTGTTTTCTTTTTAATGCCTTTTCTATTAATTGATTTACATCAAGACATGTAAGTCTTCTCTGTTACTTGTCAGATTAAAATATGGGGACAACAATAAATTGGGAACGTGTAATTAATCGTGAAATTATTTATAGATAGACAAACGTGACGATTTCCAAAAATAAATAAAAACTCTGATTTTGTATCCAGCTTATTGTTTATCTACGATAGAATTTGTTGAAAGAGCTGTGCAGTTAAACTTTGATATTACATTCTACTGATCACAAGATAAAAAGTTTATACATATATATATGTATATATATGTATCATTATTTGATGAATTTAAAATGTATTTAAAATTAATCCATTGACGCAACTTTGTATCATATCAAAACAGTAAACATTTGTAACTCTTAAAAAAACAATCAAAGAGTTTAACTTGTAAAAGTCTCTGTTTGTGATTTTAGTTTGTATTTGTTTATTTCAATAAAATTAAACATATAAGTAATAAAAGATATTTCACATTATGAATTATATTTACAGCTTTCTACAAAATGCATAATTTGCAAAGATGATTTATTAAGAATTATCTAATGATAATATAAATCGAGAAAAAGTTTTTGTAATTTTCTTAATTCGAATATTAATAACATACGATTTGATATCAGATCTTCAAAATGGCGCACTTAAAGTAAATTGCGATAAGCTGGTAAATATTCTTATGGAAGCAATTTTGCAATTATAAACGAAGAAAACACAATCAACAAATATACATAATTCGTAGCCAAAACTTACCGTCTCCATGTCGAATCCTCCCCCGTACACCATATCTCGTTCTCCTTCGCTCCTGACTTCACACTTTTGACAGTTGCCGTCCTCGTGTGCGAGGATCGATCTCTCAGCGCTCTCGATTGAGAGGCGAGATCGACTTGATTTCGTCTTAAACGTCAGCAATCGCCAACAACGACAATGACGACGACGACGATGACGACGACGGAAAATCCGATGGATTCTCCTCGTCCTCTTCGGTCGGTGCGTTTTCGTCAATGACTTTTATATTTAGACGTTTTTGTCACGAGTCCTCCTCGTTTCTCCGTCCTCGTCGCGTGCACGGCCGTGTGCCTCTCGCGAATCCTCGCGGCTCCTCGCGACTCCTCACAACCCTCGTGTGTCGCGTACGATCGACCGACTGACCGTCACCGCCGAGCGTGTGGCGGGAGTCGGTGGGCGCGTTCGAATTCGAAGCGAGCGTGGTCGGAATCGGCCGAGCGCCGCCGAAGCCGGCAGAGCGCGGGCGACCTACTAATTCGCGCATGCGCGCGTCGCGCGCGCGCGCTTGCGATCCTCACTGGCGAACCGAACGACGACGACGACGTCGCTCCGCCTTCGCGTCTTTGCGAGTCTCCACGACGTGACCGGACACGTGGTCGCTTAATTTCGCGCAACTTATGCGACTTCCACTCTCCTCTCGTCTGTATCTTCGCGACGGATTTGCGACGAATGACACCGAAATGTGAAACAGATGAGAAGATAGATACACTCGGGATATTTCCCTCACAATCGAAATCTGCTTGAACTTTTAGCAGGAATCTAGTAAATTATCGACACCAGACAAGCAAACTTTTTATAGCATATTTATTGTTGCGAGAGACGAAGCGATCACGACCCGCGTTTTGCCTTTCGCGACTGCTATACATAACACGACAAGCGTTTAGAAGAGCGACCTACTAAAGATCGACGCGCATGCGCGCGATGTCTTCCCTCTTTTTAGCTTTAGCTATCGGCGATCGGTCGATGTTACCTATCGTAGCGAAGAAACGTAGCGCGAAAAGTTATGTATTTAGTTATTCAATCATTCTTAGACGGCAACAGCATGTAAAGTATGAAGAAGAAAAAGTACGTTGGAGATGCGCGCTGAATAGAAATTTCTCGATACGATTCGGTCACCTAGTTGCATCTAGGTTCTTTCGCGAAATTTAAAAGTTTCTCGTACTTTTTAACATAATAATAATATAACAATTGTATTTAAGAAAAATAATTATAAAAGAGAAAAATGATTAAAAAATGTTTATCTTACACACACGTTATATATTTTTAGTTTTATTGCATTCTCAATAATGTGCACGGCAATCACAGCGCAATAAAATATATTAATATAGTATAGACTTAAATATGCACTTTTTCTCGTTATTTGATGGAATCTATCTTTATTGTATTCTTTTATGACTTTATACATATTTCATTTTTTTTAACTAATGCCAATTATTATTCAGCAATAAAATCCAGTGTTTTATCTAAACTGTAATTGTAATATTATATTATTAAATTTATAAGCAATTTAATATTACTGATGCTAATAAGCATCTTAAATAAAAATCTATAAGACTTTTATCACGAAAAATTGCAAAGATATCAATTATTAATTAATTATTTCAAAAGTAAAATATTAAAATATCTATTTTCTTCTCTCGTAATCAAATTAGAGATAATTATATTTAGTATGTTCAATTAATTATAAATCTATACGAAATCTTATTCACGGTTACGTAGTACACCGTAATTATGGCTATCTATTTAGTGGTGTAACTGTTTTATAGCACGATGATAGATGTAAATGGTATGTGGTGGATGTCGGTACTTTTACATGTAGGAGATATGAATAAAAATGTCAGAACACGTGTTTATTATTTCGAAGTTAAGACACAGCGCTCCCATAAGTCAGAGGTTGAGTGCAAGTGCTATGTGCGTCACGCACTCTTAACTGCATCCTGTCCACATACACATACCCACAAAAACGCATACACATATACCAATATAATTCTATTACTTTCAAACAATGTCCTCCGATAAGAGATCAGAATCTGAGCTATAACACCGAAGGTATATAACTTAGGGCGCTCACAATAGTTACTCCAGTATTTTTTTTTTTTATCGATCCAGGTTAGCGAAAACAAATGAGATGAAAAACGATTCTTAAATGAGAAAAGAATTCATTCTTACTGTGCCAGTGCGTTTAATCAAGTTGGAGTGTTTATCGCGGGGTAACGGAGCATACGTCGTAAGACCACAGACGTCCTGCGTGCAGCCTTGATACGACAGTAAATAACTCGCATGTGCGTAACGCGCGCTCCTTGAAATCGGAGTTCCGACGCGCGCGGCTCGGCGCAGCGCGATTCGCGCGAGAGCGCGCAGGCATTCGCGTGGGCGATTAGATCCGCGACACGCTTAACCGGGATAAAAAAAAAAAAACAAAGAAAAAGAAAAAGATCGGCACAATAGCCCTTTGTGTGTCTGTCCATTCGCGGGACGGTTCGGCGATGGCGACGCGCGCGCGCGCGCGCGTCGCACGTTGCGTGTCGCTCGTGTTGTGAAACGAATTCCAGGACAAATGTTTTCCGGATCTGCGCGATCTGCCGCTTGCGTAAAAGCGTCGCACAATCTCGCGGAAAGCGATCGATCGTTAGAGGAATCCCCCGAAGTTTCGGATCGGGCCCCCTTTTGCTCCCTGCGCGATCTATAAATCCTCGAGATGCGCGTCGACGAGCGACGTGAACGTGCGGCTAAATTTATCATCGATGGAAGTTATTATTGCTATATAAAACCGAGAGTGTTATGTTTGTGTGTTATGTACCTTTACCGAGAAAACATTTCGTAACGTGTTGCTTCGCGCGCTTCCCTGAGAAAGACGATGATTTAGTTGCGTCGTGGATACATATATCACATATATTCGCTGAATTTTTATTATCCGCTTACGCAATTCTTTCTTTTTTTTTATATTTATCACGAGAAAAGTGAAATTAGCAACAATTACCAGTAGTGAGAAATTTAAAACAAATGCTTTAAATTTTTGTTATTTATTATACGCATGTGCGTATTATCTGTTTTTTTTTAGCTGAACTCCTTGATTTAACTTTTCTCTTTTTTTCTCCAATGAGAGAAAAAGAAAAAAGATGAATGGTACAAGAAATTCAGCTAAAAAGAATAGAGCTGTGGTACAAACATATTAATAAAAATAAAATTCTATTAATTAAATAAAAATAAATTTCTACTAATTAAATTTTTAATTGCTTGGAACTGCCTCTATTTAAGAACAAAAAAACTGTGTCATAAATAAAACTGAATGACAAAATTTATTATCATATTTTTTCTTAAACTTACAAGATGACTGCCACTGTAATTTCACAGAAATTTATAACACACTTCTCCTTTGACTGCCTTTCTTCTTCCTTCTGTTACAGACCGTGAGAATTGCGTCATGCCCTCTCCAGAATTCTCCTTATGCAATTGATCGCAATCGCCAAGAAGGACTACGAGATGTGTACATAATGATCTCATTTCGTTGAGATATATAAATATTTGAATTGCATTAAAAAATATATAATTTATAAAGATATTTTTCTCGCGCGTACTCACGTCAGCCATTTAAATCTTTTTATCTCAAATGGTCCGATTATTGCGGTCATTATTAACCGCAAACGCACAGGTGTTCGCTATCGATCGGCTTAACCAGTTTAAACGATTCACGTAATCACGATTGAATCGATCTTTCCTCGTTGCAAAAATGCCACGTCCGGTTAAGAATCTAAATTTGTTCAGAAAAAAGATTTAGATTACGCATTTTTTTCTCGATTTAGACGAACTGGACTATTCTGTTATATTTCTGTTATATTATTTTTTGTTTGTAAATATACAATAAATCGTCTATTTCATCTTAATTCTACAAAAATACTTTTTTATAAGTGAAAAGAAAGTAATTATATTTTTAATTTTACTATAAAAAAATGATTTGACTGAAACGCGATTTACGTTATTCAGTATTATTTATAATGCTTCTTGTTTAAAACTATTTGAAATATGTGATATTTGATATTACATTCAGATGTAGTTCGAATGCGCCAGCGTCGAATGACGACAGCGTCGTTCGCGTTTTAGTGCGCATTTGCGTCATCGTCAGCTCGATGGAGAAAGCGCGTTCACCGAAAAGAGTCTGCGGAAAGAGGTTTTGCGCATCCCCAAGCGTGGCGATGAGGGAGAAGATCGTGTGGGAAACGCAGAGGGTGGCAGATACAAAAATGCCAGAAGGTCTGGTGACGTTCGTCAGGCCAATTTGTTCACATCGTTCAGCCGCGAGAAAAAGAGAAAGGAGGAAACGCGAGTGAGGGGAAAAAAGGGAGCAGGATTTAAGTCGTGAAAGAAAGAATCAAGACTGCGAAAGTGCAATGGCACTTACGCTATCCCGTGAGAGTATCCGACTGATGCGCGCCAGCGATTCGCATTTTCGTTGGGAGAATCACTCCAAAATTCATTTCGTCTTAACAGCAACAGACTTAACAGCAACATAATTACAATATAAATCAGATCATACATTTATTGCAATAATAAATTTGAAGAGAATTGACAATTTTTCAAATAAAACTCTTATTACTACGTTTGTCTGTGAATAATAGGATAACGTTTCAAAATTAATATTATCTTGGTTCTTTTCTAAAGCATTGCAAGAGTGATAATAAAAAATTGAATATTGTATAATTATTCCACATCCTGAAATTTATCAAGTTTAAATAAATTGATTAGCCTTCTTTCTCTACAAGCAAATTAATTTTATATTTTATGCGAGAGACGAAAATAATAGACTGCCGTCAGATTATTATTGAAGAATTTTCGCGTGTTTCTGTTCGATCGGCAGAAAATCATTATTTTATCGCCGATGAAGTATTATCTTCCGGCAATCGGGGTAATAATTGTTCACCGTAGTCGACTCGGTCCCGAAGATATCCCATTGTTCGAAGGATCCTGGCCCGAGATACCAGATATTTTTCATCGTCCCGTATCTTAGTAACGTTCGCGTATTGCGACCACCCCGTGGTATCTCGCATGAGGTCTCTAGAGCATATTTAAGCCTCGTACACACCGGAAAGGGATTCGGTTTCCCACTGCTTTCATGCTGCATCGAAAATAAATCCGCGATGAGATAAACTATCACTGGTTAAAAAATATATAAGGCAAAGTATATCAAATTCACAATTATTATTCAACATAAAATTTTGTCTGGTGATAAAAAAATATATATATGAATATTTATTTATTTTACACTCAAAGAAAAAAGTGGTACCAGCAACTAGAAATTTGTACGCAAATAGCATCTCAACTATGTGTAATAAGAATAATCAACAAGTTACATGAACCAAGAAAATATAATAATATTAATCATTTGTAGTAAATCGTTA